CCTACCCCGAGGATAGAAAAGCTAAGCTATTTCCGAAAGACCCTCCGCTCAAGAAAACGAAAAGAAGACGAAAAAAGGCAAATACAAAGTGGGGTGCGCAAGGCCCGTGCAGTAGTGCAATGCATGGGAGACGTGCAAGAGCCCAAGTGCTAGCTACTTTAATGGACTCTTCCCCTTAAAAAATGGGATTTTTTCATTCCTATACACTATTGGAAACTTTATTACCCTAAATGTTCATGTTTACTAAATTACCCTACCTACACAAATTTTGTTTACAAAATATATGCATTCCACCTTAAAAGGCTCCCAATCCATTATTAGTGCATTCAATTAAGGTATTTAGTTACACCCTTTACCTTTTTGTTTTCTCTTTTTCTCTTTTAATATCTTCACTAGTAATAGAAATTATATTGTTACTCGTTCATCTTATGACTAGCTATTCACACTAGTTATGAATTTGCACTAACTCATACTATTTGATATCACTTGGTTAGCCAATGTTAGTTTTTGTTGAAATCTCTAGACTATTTTAGACCGCTATTATTCTTATTTCTTAGTTTTATTTTCAATGTTTTTCTTCTTATAGTTTACACCAAAATTATTCCTTGGTTTTACTTTTTTTTTTTTTTTTTAACTTTCTTTCCTTCTTATTTATGGGGGAACGTGTAGGTTTATTTTTCGCACACAAAATAACTATAACAACCATGATTTTAAGAAAAGTAATTTCTATTTATCTTAAAATATGATACCAATAAAAATATTTCTTTTATTACAATTTTGTCTGTTATACTTAGGGTCTATCTATTGTTAATAATAAAGAAATTAATTAGTTCCTAAATAAAATGTGAGATTATTTTATTTAGTGTATGGTTGGATTTTGCGGTTTCATGATATCACATTGTATACATATTCAGCGATGAAAATTTCAATTAACAATTTGAAATTTTTATCCTAAAGCTATATCACACAAGAGGAAATGTATACAGGAAGAACATCATCTATTTTCATCTTTTTACAGCACAACTACAATCCAAAGGACTTGCGAATTTTTTAAACTTAAACAAAAATCAATCCCATCACTGTTAACAAAATTTTGACATGGGTCCATTATTTGGAAGACTTTCCTCCACGGGACAAATTTTGAGCAAAACGATTGACATTGAATCTGGGATTAGAGGAAAAATCTGTATATACAAAATCTAAAATTAAAGAGTACGTACTATTCTGTTTGCTTAAAAGCTGAGCATATTTTTAGGATTCAAACAAACTAATCTGCAACTTATCTACAACTTTTATACATTATTTCTACACAGTTAAATACAACTACAATATCATACAACTTAAATACAATTGTTATACAGGTTTTATACAATATGTCTTTTGTATATTTTGTATATGATTTATACATAGTAAATATAAATTTCATACAACTAATTATATATTATACAACTTATCTACAATTTTCATACATTATTTCTACTCAGTTATATACAACTACAATATCATACAACTTAAATATAATATTTATACAATGTTGTTCAACTTTCATACAATAGTTAAATAAATAAAAAAAAATATATAAACAACAGAATACAATTTTTCTATAATTTTACTACAATTACGTAAGTATAATGTATATCATGTCTTCTTCTTCTTCGAGTTTTAATCTGAAATTCAGCCAAAACCAAGTCTAATCTTCACCAAAACCCCCCAAAATTGAGATACAAACTCCAAACCATATTTTCAATTATTTGCAACAACACCCAATCCAAACAAATAATGGTTTTTGAAAACCCAAATTCGAATTCAAAGCTTCAAAGCTTTTTAATGGCTGTCAATGGTGGAATTGCTGCTCTCTTTTCCTTTGCTTTACATTACTGAAATTAGGGATTGAGAGATAGAGAGAGACGAAGAGAGAATTCCCAATTCTTCGCAACAACATCCAATTCAAACAAATAATATTTTTGAAAACCTAAATTCGAATTCAAAGCTTCAAAACTTTTTAATGGTTGTTAATGGTGGAATTGTGAGTGGGTGCAAGATACGTGGGGGATGGGGGTGGGATGTGGAGAGAGAAACGTTGGGGAGTGGAAGATATGTTAGAGTAATTTTATGACACTAATTATTATCATTAAATCCCTTAAAATGTACATAAATTGTAATTGGGTATATAAAATGTAATTATAGTAAAACTTGAGTAGGGAGGGTAATATAGTTTCATATAGTGTATAGGAATGTAAAAATTCCTCAAAAAATTAAGTTAATATCGTATGGGCAATGGCCCACATATCAGATATTAAATGGATAAGAATAAATACTATAACAAGCATGGATAAAAGTAAGGATTATGAGATTGTTGGAACATATCTTACAAGGGTAGCACTGAACTCACAGAGGGCTGCTACCTATAACTAACTATTTGTATTAGCTGAGATAATTCTCCACTACTCGTACAAATAGCGGGCAATGGATTCAGTGCTACCCATGTAACAGATGTAACCAACAATTTTTGAGATCTCGTGTCTTGGAATTAGTAAAGATAATTCTCCACTAAATTCATTTCTTTTGAAAGATGACCCAATCATCTACCAGGGAGAAGGAAGCTCTGCTAATGATTCCGAGTGAAAGCAAATAATATATTATGGTATATGAACGACTTATAGATACGAATAGATGGAACTGATTGGATGGAAGATTATGATTTTCCAACTAAAATGCCAAGCAAAAATAGTGTGACCAGCCTTCTACTTTCAATTCATGTATATCACGTTCTCAACCAAAAAATCAGTGTTTATTTGGTCCTCGAGCATATTTTTACAACAAATGGCATCCCGCATTTACGGGTCCGGAAAAGGGCCGCAGTCCACGGGATGTGATGTAAGCAGCCTACTCTGATACAAGCATTAGTGGCTAATTCCACATATTCCTCGAGCATGCGGTGAACCAAGTATTATCCAAATGCCACAGAATATATCAATTCAAAAGAGAAGATAGAGGCCTAAGAGGAAAAATGAATATAAAAATCAAAGGGGAAATATCCTTTCCCTGCCCCTCACTTTCTTTTCTGCCACTAAAATTTGCAACTTCATTTCAACCCGGAAAAAAAAAAAAAAAGATTTAGTACACAGCAGGGGTTCACAAATAGAATTTGCAAAACTTCTATGTTGCTACACCAGAATTAGTATGTGTATACATAATATGAAATAGTAATGAAGGGCATTTTAAGTATTCATAACTACTCCAAAATCTCAGGCCATTAGCGTTGTTCTAGAGAATAATTGGAATAATTCCACCATTATTTTGTTTTTAAGAAAAAACTCTGCCTGTTTTTAGCCAGATAATGAGATAAAGGAATAGAGTGTGATAGGTACGCCTAAAACTAGCCAATTATGATGATCCACATAGATTTAGATTGACGATTCATATAGTTGATTTCAAACAAAGTGGTTTAATTGTTGTTGTATTTCAATTTAAAGAAAAATATAAGTTGGAACAAATTTTAAAAAAGGGGAATAGGTAAATTCTTGTTTTGGCAAATAATAATTCTCCTAAATCGGATAATTGGTTGTTAAAAATTTAACGTATTTAGTCTTTTATTACCGGGTCAAATTCAGGATGTTAGAGTAACATAATTGTTTATTTTTCCTTAAGAAAATATAGTTAAACCAATTTTTCGAATATACATACATTGTATGCGCACGTTCGTGGACACTCGTTTAGGCTTGGTGTTAGTGTTGTTGATACTCTTTCTTATTCACAATAAGCGATTTTAAGCCTTTCAAATTTGGTCGAAAATAAGTACTAATTTTTAAAGATCAAGAAGGTGTTAATCTTTTTTCTCTAAAAAGGGTTGAGTCAAGTTTGCACATGTCATAACACAATTAGTTCGAGATTATTCTATGTAACTATTGAAATACTCTCCAAAGAGGAAATTTTATTTTAATTTCATTTTTTTAAAAAAAAATAGTAGTAATAAATTGAAAGGAAATCTAATGCAGATGAACTGGAGAATACTTATAGTAGCACTCCAGTATTTATCTTCAAACCAAAAGAAACACAGCTCCTGTAGGTCAAGTGGAGCTGAAGAAACAAAGACCTTCTCCTATGCACGGCGGAGCTAGTGTGTAGGTAACGGGTTCGGTTGAATTCAATAACTTTTGTCCACATGTTGTATTTGTCTTAAGAAGTTCGTTGAACATGTACAAATTATTAATTAGAACCCAATAACGACTAAAATTCCAAAACAATAAGCTTCAAATCCTATCTCCGCCGGTACTCCTAGCTAAAGAGAGGATAGACCCAAAGGCGGACCTATGTCTAGAGAAGAGGGGTCAACAGACCCCATTAATATCCATAAAAATTCTTGATACATATGTTGAAATTTGTTATATATTTTGCAACTCTTAAGACTAAAAGTTCGATCAGCACTGGTTGAACAATCCGCTAATGTGCCCTGCCAACTTCAAATCATGAGTTCGTCTCTAGTTGAATCAGATGCATCAAATGTCCTAGCCCTGTTAGCAAACACAGGAGCTTATCATCAAACAATTGATTGCTCTTTCTTTGTATCTTCTTCATTCTCCTGTTAACTATATGAGAAGATAAATAAAAGAAAGGAGAAAAGGAGAAGCGAAGGCTTCACAAAATTATATATAAAGATCGAAAACTTAGGAAATGAGAAGTCTCTAACTTGTAGCCTTTGAGAAGTAGATAAAATTTTCCCAAATTGACTGTGAATATATACTATGAACAATAGAGTTATAAGCAGTGGCGGATGCAGGATCTCCACGCAGGGGGTTCAAAAATTTTTTTTCATAGCTAGTAGGAATAGAACCCATGACCTTATGTAGATTTTGAATCCCCTTGACCACTAAACTACACTTTTGGATTGTGTTAAGGGTGTTCAAAATTTAATATATAGAAGTAAAATACAAATTTTGCCTTATATATACAGTGTAATTTTTCAGCGAAGGGTGTTCGGGTGAACACCCTTGCGCCCCCTAAATCCGCCCTTGGTTGTATGCTGCTCTTCTAGTCATGCCAGCAAAGAAGCATAACAATACATCTTCGAATTATAAACAGCCTACCCTTTTGCTCTTTAATGTACTCTCTTACACTTTTACATGAAAACTTCTTATCACCACCTCCCACTGTTGAACTTTCCATCTCCATATACAATATGATTCTCTTTTACTAATAATTTCTCTGAGAAAGATTGAAGATTAATTAACAGAGTTGTTTTATTGATGAATGAGTACTTATTGTCAGATTGCGTTTCTTCTTATAGGAAAAGAATGATAAGATGTATGGTCCATATGTAGTACTCTCCAGGTTCTTTTGCAAAGAGTCAAATAGAGGACTGATGAAACCATTAAAGGATAACACATTGTCCCCTACCCTACTATGCCCTACTTTGTGTCACTATCAATGGAGGATCAAACACGGGTTCGTCGTTCGGCAAAATTTCATGTATTTTTACTCCAACATCAAGTATGTATATGAAAAATAAATATAAATAGAGTTAGATATATTCCCACTACACTCTTTCAACTCTCGAGATGTAAAATTCTAAATTATTCTTCAAGTCCTACCGTTTTGCCTTTCTTAAACCCCATTTTTACAGGGAGGCGGATGTACGTTCAACGAACTGGTGTCACGCGATGTTGCTTCATCGAATTTTTTTACTAAATATATATATTTACACTAAGAGGAAATGAATAACTTGGAAAAACTAACACCATTTGGGCCAATCATTGATCCTTTGTTGAACTCAATAAATTTTGATTCAGTCCATCTCAGCCCCTGATGTGTGGCTATAATTCCATAGTTTTGTACATTAATTGCCTTGCAATTTATATGATTTAATGATAAATTACACTTTATTTGCGTGTAATGGAGTCTATTTTACGTGTAGGTGAATTGAAGATGAAAGTAGAGCAAAAGGGATACTTAAACGTTGAAAGTGTGCTCGAGAACAATGAAAAGGAGAAAGCTGGCGAAGCCAGGCCTTTAGCTCGCGTTGGAGCTGGTGACGCCAGGCTTAGGGCGAGCTCAAGCTGGCGGTAGACCTCGCGAGGCCAGGTCCGGGGCGCGCACATTACGAGCTTTAAAGGCTTATTTCGTCTCCTGGTTTGACTAGGACTTGGCCTACACGTTTAGGTCTTTTCCTAACATATAATAGACCTGAAAACGCCACTTTTGAGAGAGATCGGGAGACCGATATTAGACCGGGGATTCGACCTAAGGAGGCAAGAACACACTAGTAGCATGGCGGAGAATTCTTCTACAAGTTTTTCACTTCCTTTTTCCTATTTTCGTTATTGGTTATGAATTCTAGTATTGTAGTTATGTATACTATTATGAATGGCTAATTTTTTATCTAGGGTTTTGATGGGACCATTAGAGGATGATTTTCCTGTTACGTTAATATAGATTTGCTGTAGCTTTTTCTCTATTTGTTCAACTACGTTTATATTGTGGTTGGTTGAAGAGCTCTCAATCGACTGTGCCTATTTAGTGTGTACTACTTGGGAGAGAGTACATATTTAGGTAGTTGTTGGACAACATCACTCCTAACGTATATGAGGGATCAATACGGAGGGTTTAAAGGTGGGATTAGGGATAACGAACCCTTGGTGCGATCCGAGTGAGCCGTACTTAATGCCAACTAGCGTAATTCGGGATATGTCCAGTAAATTGTGGTAGTTACTTGGGAGAGAATTACAACACTTAGAGCGCTCATGATCGGTAGAGAAAACTTAGGCAAATTTATAAAAAACGTAGCGGAAAAGATTCCGACAATAGGGGAAATCATAACTCTAGGCCTCCTTAATCTTGTTTCCAATCCTTATCCTTGTTAATTGATAGTTTTACTGCTTTCTAGTATTTGTTAGTTAATTAGATAAAAATAAATATTATAATTTTTATAATTAGGAAATTGTTTGGACTTGTGTTTCTTGGCGATATTGAACAACTGTAGCTAAGCCTTAGTTCTCTGTGGGATTCGACTCCGGACTTGTAAACCGGGATTATATTTGCAACGACCGCTTAGTCCTTTTTATAAGGCATAATTGGGCGTGATCAAATTTTGGCACCGTTGCCGGGAAACTAACGGTGTAGCTGTAGGTGTACATATTTCTAAGTTGCAAGTTTGAACTTTTATTTTTGTTTTCTTGTATTTGATTGTTTATTTTTCTAAAATTCTTTATTTTTGATCTGAGAGACATGGCATCTTGGAATTATGAGTGTTTTGATGTTGATAATTCTTTTTGATTCTCCTTATGCATATAGTGGAGGAAACCACCCATGAAAAAATTATCAAAATATTCCCGAGAGCGAGTTATGTGCACCAACTCAATCTTATATGTGGAATGTGTGTGATATGTGGTGGTCAAGATGGTCAATTTCATGGTTGTGCTTATATTTCTTATCTTCCCCCAACCCATTACTATGATGGTTTTACTTTTTCTGGTGAAGTTAATAGGAACAAAGAACCCAAGGAAGCTGACCTGAAGGAGATCAAAGATATGTTAAAGCTGTCCAAGGATATGTTAAAGTATTTCATGAAACTATATGATAAGAAACCATTGTAGATACAAATGCAAGAGGCAACTATTCACAACTTGGAGGCTCAAGCAAATAAACTAAATGAACCTTGTAAAGCGCAACAAGTTTACATTGTGGATAGTAGCCAATATGAGCATGAGTTGGCTGCAGAATTTGCCATTATAATGGAGGAGTTGAGAATAGAATATGACCAAACCAATCAACTAAAATTTGAGAATGTCGATGTTGTAGAAGAGTTACTAGAGTCAACCAAGGACATTGATGATACATATTTAGTTGACTCTAGTGTCATTAGTGTTGAGGATGTAGACATTCCCAGTGTTCATGTAGTTGAGCGCATTGGTCCACACTCCAAGCATTTTTTCACATTGTGTTTGGATGATGATACAGAAATGGAGCCATCCGAGCCACTTGAAGAGTCAAGAAATAAGGAAAAAGATGCCTACATTTTGGAATTCTTCTTGCTAGAAAGTCGAGAAGACACATCTCATCTAAAGGCCAAGAATTGCAGAATACTATATTGTTTTATTGGGCCAGTCAGATTCGTTCCACCACCCTAGGAGCATGATCATAGAGCAGAATCAAAACTTGGGGCCCGATTCATAAGTTCAAAGTGGAGACAGAAAATGATTCGCGTCGTGCTGCGACGTTAAATCAAGCGCTTGTTGGGGGGCAACCCAGCTTTACTGCTTTCTTTTATTTTATTTTTTTAATTGTATTATTTTTGTAGTGTCGATTTTTTATTTTCTAGGAGCATGGAAAGCAAAGCTATTGGAAGCAGCAAACCAGATGGTTGGAACTAAGTGTGAGGTACTCGCACGAAAGACCAATCCTGGGAGAAGTCTGAGTACCCCATGAGCTGTTAATGCTTCGGCCTTTAGCTTACCAGGGAGTTTCTTTTACCCTCTTATTAGTTATGGTGTGCATTGGGGACAATGAACAACTTTAAGTGTGGGGTGAGGAGATTGTCTGGGTGACTTTCTATGCTATTTTAGTTGTGTTAGTTTAATTGAATAATGCTTTTATTATTTTTTTTTAAAAAAAAGAATTGTTCCCGACGAGGAATCTATTAGACAATTTTCTTGAGGGATTCAAGTCTAAAAAAATAGATTTTCTTTGTAGGTAGTGTACTTATTCCCCATTAGTTTTTCTTAGAGTCGCAGTTTTTTTCAAGGGTTTTGTTTGAACCGGGTGTAGTTAGTTTTATTTTTTTTAGGAGTAGGACTGTAGGAGCCGGTGTGAGATGAATTGAATTTCTGCGATATCTCTTGACTTTTTTATGCCTTGAGAATAGTGAGTACTCTTTTTTATGAGTTTGAATGTTAAAGTATATGTATTAAAATGCTTAGGGAGGTGTAGTCACTCTTATATCCAAATGTATCCTACCCGACCAGTAGCCTACATTACAACCAATTAAAGTCATACTTGATCCTAGACCGAATGAGCTCGATTAGTAGAGTACTACATTACGGGCAAGCCTATGGTGCATCTTTTTTAGCATATGGATGTTATTTCTAAGAGTGAGTGAATTCTTTCTATCTTGAGTTCCTAATTGTTCTTAAATTTTATTGTGTGTGGAACTACTCTCTTTTGTTATGTGAGGGCACGTGATTCATGAAGGAAAGGTAATGTCATTGACCTCCATGTTAGAGTAAGTGAGTGAGTTGTGAATAATGCAGGGTACTTGCGAGTCAAATCTTGAGGTGAAGATGTTAAACCTTGGTACTTAGACTATTTTTAACTTTCTTGGTGTAATGAGTTAAGGGAATTGCTTAAAAAAAGGTTGTGTCTATAAGTGTAGTTTGATTGCTCGAGGAGGAGCAATGTTTAAGTGTGGGGTATTGATGTGTGGCTATAATTCCATAGTTTCGTACATTATTTGCCTTGAAATTTATATGCTTTAATGATAAATTATACTTTATTGTGCATAATGGAGTCTATTTTATGTGTAGGTGTATTGGAGATGAAAGTAGAGCAAATGGGATACTTAAAAGTTGAAAGCTTGCTCGAGAACAGTGAAAAGGAGAAAGCTGGCGAAGCCAGGGTTATAACAGGCTTTATACCTGGAGACGCCAAGCCTTTAGCTCGCGTTGGAGCTGGCGACTCCAGGCCTAGGGCGAGCACAAGCTGGCGGTAGACCTCACGAGGCCAGATTCGGGGCGCGCACATTCCGAGCTTTGAAGGCTTATTTCGTCTCCTAGTTTGACTAGGACTTGGCCTACACGTTTAGGTCTTTTCCTACACATATAAATAGACCTAAAAACGCCACTTTTGAGAGAGATTGGACAGAGGGAGATTGAAACTAGACCGGGATTCGACCTAAGGAGGCAAGAACATACTAGGAGCAAGGCAGAGAATTCTTCTACGAGTTTTTCACTTCCTTCTTCCTATTTTCATTATTGGTTATGAATTCTAGTATTGTACTTATGAATACTATTATGAATAGCTAATTTTTTATCTAGGGTTTTGATGGAACCTATTGGAGGATGATTTTCCTGTTACGTTAATATAGATTTGTTGTAGCTTTTTCTCTATTTGTTCAACTACGTTTATATTGGGGTTGGTTGAAGAGCTCTCAATCGACTGTGCCTATTTAACATGTACTACTCGGGAGAGAGTGCATATTTAAGTAGTTGTTTAACAACATCACTCCTAACGTATATGAGGGA